AACAAAATAAATGAACATCAAAACAAAATAAATGAACATCAAAACAAAATAAATGAACATCAAAACAAAAGAAAAGAAAATAACTTGAATTTTACTGTGGAGAGTTCTAAAACAATTTATGAAAAGGTAACCATGGTAACTATGCTGTTATTTCTTTGTTTGTATTAACTATTTCTCATTTTACTGACACAAGTCTTTAGATTACAGAGTTTGGAAATCGAATTTTACACCCAAAAAAAGACACAATGTAGAAACAGCCATGATGTAAATCTAGATGTTTTTGTTTTCTCCCTCATCTGACTCTTGATTTCAAAACATATTTCCAGGGACAACCCCCACCCCCCCCCAGCCCCCCCCCCACCCAATCCTCCCGGCCACAATATAAAATGCTAATTCAAATTCAAATAGACCTGATATTATGGTTCTTCCCTGTTTTGTGAACTATACATAAGATTATAGTCAATGTGTTCTCTGCTTATTGCACTGCAGATAAGATTATATTCCATGTCTCATCTGATTTTTTCACTGCACATAAGATTATAATTATATATGATATGTCCTCCCTGTTTGTGCTCTACAAATCATAAAATAATTATTGTTCATGTCTTCCTTTTGACTGCACTGCAAACAATATAATGCTCAGATATTCAGTGCCTTCCGTGTAGAATGTTTACAAATACGATTCTAATATATGCCTGATGCCTTCCTGTTGATTGCAATACAGAATATATTCGGTTGACACGGGAAATCGTTCATATTCTTATAAGACTTAAATTGGCCCAAAACAATCTCGCAGGCCCTTCCAATCACCCTTTTTGTTTTAAAAGCTTGAGGAGCCTTGGCATTGATTGTTATTTTTTAAGAAAACCTTATCATTTGAGCAGAGATAATATGTTATAAGAAAATCAAATCATTTGAGCAGAGATAATATGTTATAAGAAAATCAAATCATTTGACCAGAGATAATATGTTATAAGAAAATCAAATCATTTGAGCAGAGTTAATATGTTATAAGAAAATCAAATCATTTGAGCAGAGATAATATGTTATAAGAAAATCAAACCTTTCTGCAAGCAGAAAACAGGATCCATCACATTTGGTGAGTTCATTTAATCCTAACCGTGACCCACTCTACATTTGGTGAGTTTATTTAATCCTAACCGTGACACACTCCACAGTTGGTGAGTTCATTCAATCCTAACCATGACACACTCCACAGTTGGTGAGTTCATTTAATCCTAACCTTGACACACTTCACAGTTGGTGAGTTCATTTAATCCTAACCGTGACCCACTCCACAGTTGGTGAGTTCATTTAATCCTAACCGTGACACACTCCACAGTTGGTGAGTTCATTTAATCCTAACCGTGACCCACTCCACAGTTGGTGAGTTCATTTAATCCTAACCGTGACCCACTCCACAGTTGGTGAGTTCATTTAATCCTAACCGTGACACACTCCACAGTTGGTGAGTTCATTTAATCCTAACCGTGACACACTCCACAGTTGGTGAGTTCATTAAATCCTAACCGTGACACACTCCACAGTTGGTGAGTTCATTAAATCCTAACCGTGACACACTCCACAGTTGGTGAGTTCATTAAATCCTAACCGTGACACACTCCACAGTTGGTGAGTTCATTTAATCCTAACCGTGACACACTCCACAGTTGGTGAGTTCATTTAATCCTAACCGTGACACACTCCACAGTTGGTGAGTTCATTTAATCCTAACCGTGACACACTCCACAGTTGGTATCTCATGTCTTAACCATGACACACTCCACAGTTTGTCATTACCAAGACCCACTCCACATTTGGTATCTTTTGTCATTATCAAGACACACTCCACATTTGGTATCTTTTGTCATTACCAAGACACACTCCACATTTGGTATCTTTTGTCATTACAAGACACACTCCACATTTGGTATCTTTTGTCTTTACTATGATACACTCGACAGTTGGTATCTCATGTCTTAACCATGACACACTCCACAGTTGGTATCTTTTTTCTTTACTATGACAGACTCCACAGTTGATATGTTGTATCTTTACTATGACACACTCCACAGTTGGTTTCTTTTGTCATTACCAAGATACACTCCACAATTGGTATCTTTTGTCTTTACCATGATACACTCCACAGTTTGTATCTCATGTCTTAACCATGACACACTCCACAGTTGGTATCTTTTGTCTTTACTATGACAGACTCCACAGTTGGTATCTTTTGTCTTTACCATAACACACTCCACGGTTGATGAGATATTTTGTTTTTACCATGACACACTGTAAAGTTGGTGAGCATCTTTCATTGTTACGTTGCACTCCATAGAAATGTTCATATGTAAGCTAGAGCTTTAAAAAAATTTAAAGTAATACATAAGTAAATACATAAATGCTTACATTAATCAATGCATAAAAGAATGCTTACATACAGGAAATAATACTTAATTTACTATAAAATTAATACATAAATTAATTAATAAATCCATACATAATTTAATAAAGTAAATCAATATATTAAATGATAAAAAAATATAAAGAAGAAAAAGAATTTTATACTTAAGATACATTAAATAACACTTAATTTAATCCATTAATAAAACATACGTGAATATCTAAATTTATACAGAGCCTATACGTGCATTAGTACATCAAATGACACTAAAGAGTATGGATTATGGACTTTATAATATGGAATATGGACTAGAGAGTATAGGCTATGGACTATAGAGTATGGACTATCGACTATAGACTATGGAGTATAGAGTATGGACTACGGACTATAAAATATTGACCATGGACTATAGATTATGGCCTATGAAGTATGGACTAAGGACTATGGAATATGGACTTAGGACTATAGGGTATGAACTATGTACAATAGAGCATGGACTAAGGAGTATAGAGTATGGTGAATAGACCATGGACTATGGATAATGGACTATGGACTATAGAGTATGGACTACAGAGTATGGACTAAGGATTATAGACTATGAACTATGGAGTAATGACTATGGAGTATTAACTATGGAGTATGGACAAAGTACCATCGAGTATGGACTATGGATAATAGAGTATGGACTATACAGTATGGACTATGGACTATAGTTAATGAACTATGGACTTCAGAGTTTGGGCTATGAACAATGTATTATGTTCTACGGAGCATGGTCTATAGACTTTAGAGTTTGGACTATTGACTTTGGAGTCTATTGGGATTGTTTATATTATGAATGCCTACTGGCCAAGGGATTTATGAGATATTCTTTGCCTTAATGATCACGATTGAAAAGGATGGTTGTTCTATCATATATGTGTACAGTGAGCCACTAATTTTTTAGTGTTTATTCAAATAAGGGCGAGAACGCAAAAGCCAACTAAGGGAACGAATGAAAGAATAAATGCTCTTAAAACAGAATTATTAGCTCCCATTATGCGCGGGAACGTTTGAGACCAGTAGTCTCATTATTGGACAGTTAGGGTCTGTGTTTATGTGTGAGAATGGGGGTGTGTGTGTGTGTGGTACATGTTTGAATGAGTTTGTCTTGGTGTGTGTCTAGGGGCGTGTGTGTGAATGAGTGTCTAGAAGTGTGTGTGAACGAGTGTGTAGTGGTATGTGTGTGTGTGGGTATGGGTGTGTATAAGGGTGGTTGTGTGTGTGGGGGGGGGGGGGGGGAGGAATTGTTTGATTTTCCATCAAAACTTAATTTGGGTGTGTATAAGGGTGGATGTGTGTGTGTGGGGGGGGGGGTGTGATGAACTGTTTGATTTTCCATCAAAACTTAATTGAATTCTGCAACACTAGGTGGAGTTGATAATAGTCAAGTGTGGCATCA